TCTCTCTCTCTCTCTCTCACACACACACACATTCATTTGTATTCTTATACAAATACCTGTATGTGTGTGTGTGTGTGTGTGTATATATATACACACACACACACACACATACACAATGTTATGCTAAGTTATTTTGTTAATTTTAATTATATACATTTTATATATTAATTTCATTTTTATTTTTGATATATTAAAATATAATAGTTTATTTTCAATTGCTTACATTTTCAAAACTTTGCCTCTTTTTTTCAAAACTCTACACACAAATCCAAAGAATTGCACACAAAATGCAAAAAGCCTCACATCGCTTGCAAAATTAAGCATTGCATTCAAAATATCACAAATACATCTCAAAAGCAAACACCTTTGACATAATATTAATTCCTGTTAGATTTGTGTGTGTTACAGAGAATTGTGTGTTGTGTTTTACAAAAAGTGTTTTATGAAATTGCAAACTGAGTCAAAGGCTGAGAATTAGTGTATGGTTTTGTAGATTTGGTGTGTTTCTGCTGTTTGAGTGTCAGCTTTCAGAAACTGTGTGACAAATAAAGATTTTGTGTGTAAGCAGATTAAAAAAAACTGTAAAAAATAATATAATTTATTAAAATATTATATATTTATATATATATTATTATTAATTTTATAATTTTATTTTTAAACTATGAATTAGATTATTAGATTTTGTGTTATATTATAGTAATGTCATATTTTATGACACACATACATATACATATTAATATACACATCCCTCTATGTCTCGCTCTATATTTGGTTATGTATATTAATTCTCTACATTATAAATTTCATTTTATTAATGCTATATTTATATATTCATTTTATTTTAATTTTATTTTAAATTTTTATTGACCTATTTATTAACTGTTTTGACTAGTTAACCTTAAAAGGACCTTAAAAGCATTTTGTACAGTTTTCACTATATTTATGAAGACATTTTCCAAAATTTGGTCCTCGTAAAAATACCATATAAAATCATTAATAACACCTGTCCAAAATGTATGAAACACTCACCTGTCTGTCACTGCAGTGAGACACAGATAAAGGATCAGACAAACACTAACCTGCTCACAAAACTACAGACAGACTGGCTTGAGAATCCGTGTGTGTGTGTGTGTGCGTGTGTGTGTGTGTGTGTGTGTGTGAGAGAGAGAGAGAGAGAAACAGACACACACTTCCGTATTTAAAGGAAGCAGTGTTTTGCTGATGTTCTAAACGGTCAATTGGAAAGGCATTAGTGTTCCAGCCCTCACTGTAATCAATAAAGTGATCAATCGCCTTGAAACGCCGATCTAATCTGCACTTTCATGTTCAATGTCAACAGCTCACATCCCAGAGTCTGGAATTTACTAGAAATTCCCTTCATTCCCTGTTCAGAGCGCTGGAAGCAGGAGAAGAGAGAACATGCCGTGGCATGAACACTCAAACACACACACACACACACACACACACACACACACACACTTGCATTCTCAAGCCATTTAGTTTATCTTGATGTATTAAAGTAGCTTAAGCAAAACCTGAAATAGAAATGATTAAAAACTATATAGACATCTAAAAAACTAATTAAAAAATACAAAAACAAAATAAAAATAAAAATAAAATGTATAAAGTAAAACAAAAATTTTAAAAACTTTTTATAAAAAATAAATAATTTCTAAAAAAAAAAAAAAAAAAAAAATTGTGAGAAAATAACATAAAAACTATAATAGTACCTCAATGATACTAAAATAACACTAAATCAAACTCCATTAAAGCTCCTGATCCATCAAGAACAATACCTCGTTTTTATGTTTTTCGTTCATTATAAACTGATGTTTTTGAGATCTACTCATTTTTGTTGTTGTTCGAACACTGAAACCTGCTGCATCTCATCAGATTTCTCCTGCGACCTCTGCTCTGACCTCTGGGTTGATAATTCAGAAAGCCTCTGCTCTGGCTGCCATCTGAACATGACGGATGAGAGACGGCGTCTACAGGTGTGTGAACTCACACACGTCCACAAGTCTGACACTCGCCTCCATGCGCTTCAGTGAAGGAAACGGCACGATAAAAGCAGGAAGATGTTTGTGAGACACTTGCACAACACTCCTCATGAAAGAGCCTGTATCGGTCAGCTGCCAGTTGAGGCCTGTCTCACCCACACACACACACACACACACACACACACACACACAATCACAAGTGCAGTATGGAGTACCTCAAGGCTCAGTACTAGGACCGTTACTTTTCACAGTTTACTTGTTACCCTTGGGAGATATCATCAGGAAACACGATGTTAGCTTTCACTGTTATGCTGATGACACTCAGCTCTATATTTCTACGTGGCCCGACGAAACATACCAATTTGCAAAACTCACGGAATGCATAGTCGATATAAAAAACTGGATGACAAGTAATTTCTTACTGCTAAATTCTGAAAAAACAGAGGTGTTAATTATCGGACCTAAAACCTCTGCATGTAATAACCTAGAACACTGTCTTGCACTTGATGGCTGCTCTGTTAATTCTTCGTCATCAGTTAGGAACCTAGGTGTGCTATTTGATAGCAATCTTTCCTTTGAAAGCCACGTTTCTAGCATTTGCAAAACCACATTTTTCCATCTCAAAAATGTATCTAAATTACGACCTATGCTCTCAATGGAAAATGCAGAAACGTTAATTCATGCGTTCATAACCTCAAGGTTAGATTATTGTAATGCTTTATTGGGTGCTTGCTCTGCACGCTTAATAAACAAACTCCAGCTGATCCAAAATGCAGCAGCTAGAGTTCTTACTAGAACCAGGAAGTATGACCATATTAGTCATATTTCTGTCAACACTGCACTGGCTCCCTATTAAACATCGTATAGATTTTAAAACCTTGCTAATTACTTATAAAGCCCTGAATGGTTTAGCTCCTCAGTACTTGAGTAAGCTCATATCGCATTATTGTCTTCAAGTCCACTGCGATCTCAAAACTCTGGCCAGTTGATAATACGATCAGCACCTAGAGAGGACCTCTACAGCCCTGAGACCCCAACCGCTCTCAGAATCTGAGGTCTTTTGTTTGGTGAATCATGTTGTCTGAGGGCTGTGGGGTGAATCCAGAGAAACGCTGCAGGGTTTCAGGTGTCCAGACACAGAATACAGTCTCATTGTAAGTATTATAGTGTGTGTGTGTGTGTGTGTGTGTGTGGATCCGTTACGCCATATGGACACTGTATGGAGGAAAACAGAGTATCTAACAGCACACTGAAATAAACTCACACTCCTAAAAATAAGAGTTCTTTATTGGCATTGACAGTTCCATGAAGAACTTTTAACATCCATTGGTTCTTTGTAGTGGAAAAAGCTTCTTTATGAAAATGTTCTTCACAGTAATAAAAATGGTTCTCTTAAACTGTTCAGTGAAAGGTTCTTTGAGGAATGGTTAAATGGCAAAAACTGTATGTTCATAACAGTCAGTCATTTCTTCTTTTTTTTCTTTTGAGTTCATGTTCTTTAGTTCTTTATGACATCAAATGCAATAATGGTTTCTGTCTGTCTCTGCATGAAGAGTGTTAATAATTAAACACTCATGCAGTGACTCACACACACACACACACTCTCTCTCTCTCTCTCTCTCTC